TCTTTGATTTTAAAATTTCAAAAAATTTTGTTCACTATACAAATCTCTTACTTTTGTCTCCGTAAGTAGAATTAACAGCGGTATTAAAATGATTAATTTATACCTGTGATATACTATGAAAAGGTATTTAATGACCTTTTATTCCGATTGCTAGAGTCTGTAATCGAGGGAATCACAAAACTTTGCCTTAAAGTTTACACGCAATATTTTCTTCGAAAATTTATCTGAGTTTCAAAAAATTCGTGATTTTCCAGGTAAGTGTTAGCAATAAAAACTAGCCCATAATACAAGGTCACCTTTGGAAGAACAATGTGAATTTTCATAATAGCTTTCTTTTTACTTACAATTGTGGAGTTGAACAAGGTGCATGAAAATCTTGAATACTATTTTCTAAATGAAGAATTTCTGTTTCTTCTGAACATAATAAATTTTCATTTTCTTGTTGAATAATTGAAAGAAGAATTGAATTCATTGATAGATTATTAGTCATTGTTTGATTATATGTTATTCCATTAATTGTTATTAAGAAATATCCAATATTTGCAGATCGACTAAAGAAAAAAAATATTTCCAAAAAAAAAATAAAATGTTTTATTTTTTTCAACAAATAAAATCAATTTACCCTGTAGTTGTAACACCTTCTTGAACACCTTTAAGCATAACATTAACATTTGATTGTCCTTTTTTAACGAAACAAACAAAAAACAGATTAAATATATGAATTTTTCGAATAAAATGATTTTTTTTTACCAGTAGCTGCAGAAACTGCTTTTGTAATTAAATTAATCGATAATGAAATTTCATTTAATGGAATACATAATTTTAATCGTAAAAGAATATTTAATGATATATATGGAATACATTGTTGATAATTTCGATAAGATATTGTATTTAATATATCATTAATTGATGCTAATGGTTCAATATTTGAACCAAGAATTATTGATGATTCACTTGCTATTACAAAATATATTCGTGTCATCATATTACCAGTTATTGTTATATAATGTTCAACATTTAATGGTGTAGCAATATAAGATTCTATTTGAGAAAAATTTCGAGATTTATTTGAAAGATTATCTTGAATTTAACTTACGTATTGATCTAATTGAAATTCGATGAGTAGTATAATATATACCAATTGTTTCCATTAATAATTGAATATTTTGATTTTGAATTGAAGAAAAATAACCACATATATCAATGATATATGGTTCAATAGATGTTGATGGATTTCCAAAAGCACCACATGTAGAAACATATTGTGTATCTGTTGGTTGTTGAATCATTATGTTTAAAGGTATAGTTGGAAGTATAGTATAATTAAAATTATAAATAATAACTTCAGTTCTAAAGAAAAATTTTATTTTAAAAAAGTAAATCAACGCAATATTTTTGCGGCTGAAATGTAGAACTCACATATGTTCTTTAGACTCATTATATCAATACGAAATACGTAAATTGAAAATCTCTCCAATAGACTACAATTGTTTTCTAAGGATAATTGATCGATAGAAAAACACTCTACTGTTGGTTGATATCCGCGATTTTTCTATCCGGTTCGAATCACGCGGGTTCTCTCGCATAATTTTTTTTTTAACTCTGCAAATATCAGACATTGCGCTATTTGAAATATTCTAGAACCGTTTAAATCTTGTTCATAATGCCGCTCAATGCCTTTTTCTATTGTTAAGGAATAATGAGTGATTATTCGAGGATCGTTGTTTTCCGTTAGACTATGAGAACTTTTGCAGAAAAACAAATAAAAATTTACTGATTTATAAAAGTTGTTTGATATGAACTAAGATCAATAGAACGTGTTTGATTATTTAATAAACGACGTGTTGCTGATATTTTACATAAAGTTGAATAAATTTCTGATGATGAACTTGTAATTAAATGTCGATTTTTTGATTGATCAAATGAAACATAAAGTGATTGATTAAGTGAATTAATTTCATATTGTTTTATTATTGATGGATTAATATCAATTCGAGTATTATTATTTGTTAATAACCATTGCCATCGATTTAATATTGAATTATATATTCCACTTGTCCAAAAATCTAAAAAAGGAAAATCAAATTTGTAAAAAAAAAGAAACATCAAATAAATTAACCTCGAGTTAATCCATGAGAAAATAAAGCTGGTATTAATTGTTGTTCTAATTCATCAATAGATTGAAACCAAACTAATTGTGTTTGTTGTTTTTCACATTCATTTATTGCTTCTCGTTGATTTTTAAGAAAATTTTGTTCATTTATTCGATAACAATATGGATAGAATGATGTTGGAGTAACAAGATTATATGGTGATGGACATACTAAATTAATTTATAAGAAAATCTATTATTAAATAAAATAAACTAATTTACCAAGTAAAACATTTAAACTATTCCAAACTTGATCAATACATTGTAAAATATTTTCCCATGATGATCCTAAAAAATTAATATATCAAATTTTTCTATTGAAGTTTTATTTTTGTTTTTATCTTCTACCTCCTAATCGATTAGTTGGAATTACAATTTGTACTGGATATGTTCTATTTATTGGTATAATTGGTAATTGACAAAGATGACCAGTAAATGTTGATGGACATAAACATGAACATTGACAATTTGTTGTATTCATAAATCGAGTACCATTATTTTGACATATTGTTAATGAACATATATCATATGGAGTTTCACATCGTGTTCCTTAATTAATACAAAAAAAAAAAAAAAAAACTTTATTTTTCCGAAACAAACAAAAAAATCTTGATTAGTTTCTTTAAATGCATTACCAGTAAATCCACATGGACATCGACATTGACGAGAATTATTTTCAATAGAACAAATACCACCATTGAAGCAACTATTTTTAGTACAATGTGAAATACTACAATCAGATCCTAAAAGAAAATCAAGATAAATTTTCATCAAATATATATTTTTATTGTAATTACCTCTATAATCTTGTGGACAAGTACAAATATATAATCCATTGCCTAAATTTGAACAAGTTCCACCATTTACACCTAAAATAATTAATTTATTTTCTTTATTTTTTATTTTTAATTATAAATTATTATTTACATGGATTTGTATCACACATATCAAATGATATATCACATGTTTTGCCTAAAGAAATTTGAATCAATAATCAAATAAACAATATATTGTAATAAGTTTTAATTCTTCATTTTTAGTGAATTATACATATCAGTTTAAAGAATTAATCATGTATTGATAAGTTTTTGTAAAAAAAAATAATCTCTTCATCTTCCATCGCTTGAAACATGTTTCAAAAAAATTAAGAATATCTATTCAAAATCTATGTTAAAAGCTCTCTCTTAACGTAAGATGTAAAAATAAAACAAATTCTATTTTATTTTGTTTTTGCGTTAACAAATAAATCTTCAAACAGTTCTCAGAGAGTGCCTGTTAAAACAAATTTGTTTTAGAAAACACCAAAAAACAAGCTGAACTGTAGACTTCTAATTATCTTTATGATTGATGTCCATTTTCATTCTTTCTGTGAACTGCTGGTATCAGAACTCTGACGTATCTATATAAACAATATTCATGAGTACTGACAATCATCGTTTTATAGGCTTTTATAAAATGCTACCACTGATAAAAAATATCCAACAAAAGGGGGAAGGTAGGGTCAGCAAAAACCGAATATTTATAGACAGAATGAGGGGAGAGATTAGACTAGATATGGGCAAGATGCCCTCAGGACCAACACTTTTGCATTGAGAATGATATCTTTTATGGTCGTATAAAACTTGTGTCAAATATTATATTTTTACAACTCATGTGTTCTAAAATTTTATGCAAAAATCATTGAACAACGATCACTTCCATATTTGCTTTTACAATTTTAATAATAAAATTAATCTTTTTCTTTTCGTAAACAACACAATTGACGAACACATAATCGTTCAGAAAAGATGAAATATTAGTGAATTTAAAAAAGTAATGAATCTCTAAGAGAGATAATATTAGAAGTCATGTGGATCGTGTAAGACGTCTCGCGCTCATTAACACCCCCCCCCCCCCCTCCCCCACAAAACAACACAAATTTTTCGTTTCGCTCATCACTGAATCAGACGCATCTGAATGTTCGGAGACTTATTAAGATTTTTTTTGTAAGTATTTTTCAAGTTAAATTGGTTTTGATCAACATTTTCAAAAAAAAGAGGAATTTCTCAGAGTTCTATGATATATCATCTACGAATGAATTATGCATATTAACAGTATATCAGTTGTTTAATGCGAACAAAAACATTTTTCGAAATTGGACGTCCAAGAGAAAGGAAGTAATCAAAAATTGCGATTTTCACCTGAACGTTCCCTATGGATGAAGTCAATGGAATTATTCAAATTAGTGACCCATCACCAGTTTCATATTCAAATATGAATGATATTTCATAAAACTTTGTTCGTTTTCAATTTTTTCATCCTGTTATCTAAAACAATCTATGTACTGCTTGTTATCATACATTAGCGGAAAATAAGATAGGACAAAACTTCTTTTTCTTTGTAAACATATAGTTACAAAATGTTTTCAACAAAGATTTTGAATAGATATTCTTAGTTTACTGATGAACATGTTTGTATTAAAACAAAACTCAAAGTCGGCTGATTTTAAGAATTTTTTTTTTGTTTCTTACCGGTAAATCCAGGTTTACATGTGCATTGAAATGTATTCTCATTTTTATTTTGACATGTTCCATGTATACATGGATTTGGTTCACAAGAAGACGTTAATTCACAACTATAAAATAAATAAATAATTGAATTAAAATAATTTCCTTATCTTAAACTTACAAAGTTCCATAACGTCCAGATGAACATGCACAAATTTCTTTTCTTGAATCATAATCAGCAATACATGTTGCATTTCCTTGACATGAATTTTTCGAACAAAGATTTCTTTGTTCTGAACATCTTAAACCAGTATAGAATGTTGGACATACACAAGTATAATTTGTTAATGATAATGTTAAACATGTTGCATTATTTAAGCATGGATTTGAATCACATGGTAATAATGATATATCACAATTTCTACCTGTAATACTTGTTGGACATAAACATTGATATTCACCATTTAAAAGATTAGTACAAGTTCCTGTTCGACATGGATTTGATGAACAACCAAGTGATATTGTTTCACAATGAGAACCTGAAATATTTCAGAAAGATAAAAACAACTAATGCTTAATTCTCGACTGAATCTTCAACTCTTTTTGTATAATATACGACTTCATCAGCTCACTCAAAATACTAATATCGAACGTATAAATGAGGCTTCATGTGAATCAGAGTTCTTTAGAGTAGAGAAGAGTGATAAAAAAAAAAACTGTTTAGAGTAGAACTAGGATATCATTAATATTTCTAAGAAATTTTTGGCATGCAACCTCAAAGACATTCCTGATATCTTTCTGATTTTGAAAAATTCAGTCGTTATGTTACAGGGAAATTAAGTTTTGATAGAGAAGACAAGATTGAACGGCGACATTGTTAATAACATTTTATTCTTACGAAAAACTTTTAAAATCTGTGATAATTTTATATTACATTATCATTAGAAATCAATCAACCATGCTGAAACATAATGAAGAAAACTTCATATTGACATATGTCAAAATCTGGAAATCTTAGGATAGGATATAGAGTACCAAAAAGTCTTATCCTACAGGACTCTAGTATGCGTGTCAGTCAGATGGTGCCTCTCTTCACCTATTCAACCAATCATACTCATACCTACACACTCACATTCTGAACTTCTAGCATTGTGCATTTTATTTTATTTCGTATGACTCTTCCTTCAATTGAAGAAATAAAATTTTTGATCATTATTTCATACTTACCAGTATATGCCGTAGGACAATTGCAATGCCAATAAGGATAAGTTTCATTTGACAGACAAGTTCCACCGTTAATACATGGCATCGATCGACATGGATCAAAATTTTCACAATTCTTACCATAAAAACCTGTTTTACAAAAACATGAATATGATCCATATGTATTCAAACATCTTCCACCATTTCCACAAACACCTGCAATTGTTCTACATTCATTAATATCTGCACATCTAAAATTAAAAAAAACAAAAAATTTCTCATCTAATCTCTTTTTTTTCATATGATTAACATACACTCCCATCATAAATTGAAATCCAACTGGACAATTACATGTATAAGAAAAATTTCCATTTGATATACATTGTCCAATTAAACATGGATTATCATCACAAATATTCATTTCACATAATTTTCCATAATATGGATATGAACATTGACATTCGCAATTAATTAATGATGTTCTTATTGCTCTACCATTTCTACATGGATAATTAAAACATGGATTTATTTCAATTTCACAATTATTTCCTTGATAACCAATTTGACAAGAACAAGCATATGTTAATAAACCTGTTCTTATACAAGAACCATGATTATAACAAGGCATTGATTGACATGGATCAATTGGTATTGAACATGTTGAACCTTGAAAACCATATGAACAAAGACAAGTATAATTTCGATACATTGGTGTTGATATACATTTTGATGATGGTCCTCGACATGGATAACTTAAACAAGGATCAAATATTAATTCACAATTAATACCATAATATGGCCATGGACATTGACATATATAATAATATGGTGCTGGTTCAGAACATTTACCTCCATGTTGACAAGGATTACTTTCACAAACTTGTATATTAAATTCACAATTTATACCTGAAAATCCATTTGGACATATACATGTATATGAAGATATTTCATCTGATAAACATGTACCTAAATTTTGACATGGTTGTGATGTACATGGTGCATATAAATATTGACATTGAATACCAGTATATAATGATGGACATTGACATTTAGCACTTGGTGGTTTTGTTGGAAGATTAACACATGTACCATTATTTAAGCATATTAATGATGTACATTGATTAATTAATATTTCACAATGTATACCAGCATAACCTGATTGACAAACACATTGATATGTATTTAAACCTTGTATACAAACACCATTATTTAAACAGGGATTCGAACTACATGTGTCAATTAATATTGAACAATTTCTACCTGTTGAACCAGGTAAACATTTACAATCATAACCATTTATATCATTTAAATAACATTGTCCATATAAACATGGTGATGGTTTACATAAATCTATTGATATATTACATTGTTTACCTGTATAACCTTGATAACAATCACAGATATAATCATTTAAATTATCAATTGTTCGACATTGTCCATATAAACATGGACATGATGAACATGCACCATTTGATAATCTTGTATCACAATGCAGACCACTATAACCAATTGGACATGTACAATTAGCTAAACCAGGACTAAGATAATTACAATTACCACGTATACAATATGAGTTATTTAAACATGGATTAATTGGTATATCACAATGATTACCCGTATAACCATTTGAACAAACACATGAGCAACTTGTTGAACTTAATACAAGTGGTACACCATATTTACATGTTGTTAATGAACAATTATTTATTGGTGTTTGACAAATTCTTCCTGTATATAATGATGAACAAAGACAAATAAATGATGTTAATTGTGATATACATGTTCCTTGATTTTGACATGGATTTGATTGACACCAATTAATTTCAAATTCACATTGTAAACCAGCATAACCTTTTTGACATAAACATTGATAACTAAGACCATTATTTGTATTTCGACATATACCATTATTTAAGCATGGATTTGAAATACATGGTTGAATTTCATTTGTACAATTTATTCCATTATAACCTGGTTGACATATACATTGATAACCATTTAATGTATCTAAACAAATACCATTATTTTGACATGGCATATCTAAACAAAATGAATCACGTAATTGACAAAATTCTCCATGATAAGAATTTGAACATAAACAATTATGTAAACCAGGTGCAATATCATAACAGGTACCACCATTTAAGCAGGGAGATGATTGGCATGATTGTATACGTATAACACATGTACGACCTTGAAAACCATATGGACATTGACAAGCAAATGATGTTGCTTGATTTATACATGTACCATTGTTATAGCATGGATTTGATGAGCAATAATTTATTATTGTATTACATCGTTGACCAGTATAACCAGGAAAACAATTACATTGATATGAATTAATTAATGGTACACATGTACCATTTAAACATGGTGCACTTAAACATGTATTTATTTGATTTTGACATGATAAACCTGTATAACCGAATAAACATGAACATACACCTGTTGATAAACTTGTTCGAATACATGTACCATTATTTAAACAAACCATTGATAAACATGGATCAATATTTGTTTCACAATGAACACCAGTATAACCTTTTTAATTAAAATTGAAATTTATTAAATGAAGGAAGTCGTTAAGCAATGAAATCAGCTCCTTCACAAAATTCAGTTTATTATTTTTCCATTAATATATTATGACTACAGAACTGCAAAGTGGTCTCAGCTCCATGGAAACTGTAATCGAGACCGGGACCGGAAGTTTAAACTTGCTAAAACTGATCCCATTATATTTTCTGCTCAAAAACTAGACTACATATTTTCATACTTATTATTTTGTTCTGACTAATGATCTATAAATTGACCCTTTTTATTTATGATTGAGATAAAATTATGGATCTGAAAAATCTTTCTTTTTTTCGGTCCTGAACCGAAACTGGAGTCATCTTGGAGGTCTCCACTCAAGATAGTACTCATAGTTCTGCAGATCCTAAATTTTGATATTATCGAAGTGACTCTTGCTGGAATACCGATAGTTTAGTTTTGATGTATGCACATAAAAGGTATGCTCATACTATCAATTTCTGAGAAACGAAATCAGGATCAGAAGCAACAGAAAATTTTAATTGAGATCGGAACCAGGATCGGGATCTGGACGAGACCAAAAAAAAGGTGGTTCCACCGATGCCTAATTATGATGTTAGAAGTCAATTGTCGTTCAAACTAGATGGCTATACCCCATTCTGATTGCATGTAGCTGACTCAAAACTCTATATTATCTCTCCTTTATAGATTCATGAAATGGAATGTTTCTATGAAAATTTTATCTTGCTTCTTCAGCTCATTTACTTTGAATTATATATCAAATGAAAGCTCTGCCTTTCTCGTCTACCGAATGGTACAAAGGAGTATGACAATATATCGTCCTTATCTTTTTTTTTGTATTCAATACTATTCGCTTGTATGTACAATATGGAGATACTCATGACAAAATTTTCTCTCTATTGTGCTTTCAAAGCAGCAATCCATTTTGAACTATACATCATTCGATAGGCTTTTTTAAAACTCTACAAAATGATACTATTGCATTGAGATTAATTTGTGGTCAGAACACTTTAATCAAACACACAATGTTCTTGAATGCCAAATGTTGTCCTTTTTTGACAGATATTCGATAGATTTCAGTCAGAATGAACAAGCTTCCTATCAAAAACAGTGTCATACATAGATCAACGTAGCTTTTTATTTTGATTCTAAATATGCTAGTTAATCGGAAAAGCCTGTCGAATGACATATTATTCAAAGTAGATTGTTGCTTTCACAGCTCAATTGTATATGTCATTCGATAGAGGAAACAAAGAGCTTTCATTTGATATATATATATATATATATATATCAAATTAAAGGAACTCGAATCGCGCACAGCTGAAATGTGAAGTATAACGGTCTAATTTGAATGACAATTGACTATTCGAAAAAATAAGAAAACTCAATATTTCGAAGAAAGATGATTCATTGCTTAACAACGACCCCTCTTCATTTAATCAAAAAATTAAAAAAGTAAAATATTTTGTTTTTTTTACCATTTGGACAAAGACATTGATACTGATTAAGTTTTGATTGTAAACAAATACCATTATTTTGACATGGCATCGATATACATTCATTAATATCAATTTCACAACGATTACCTGTTAAACCACGTGGACATGTACATTGATAACTATCTTTATTTGTTATACATGTACCATTATTTAAGCAGGGTCTAGAATAACATTGATAATCAACATATTGACATTGTGTACCTGAATATCCATTTGGACAAGTACAATTAAACATATTTAATGATAATTTATTACATATGCCATTATGTAAACAAGGTAAACTATCACATTGATTTATTTCAATTTGACAATTAAATCCTGTATAACCTGATGAACATAAACAATAATAAAATCCATTTGAAATTTCATGACATGTTCCATAATGACATGGATTTGAATAACATGGATTAATTTTTATTTCACATTTTTTACCTGTATAACCATATGAACATTTACATTGAAAATCATTATCTGATGTTAATGTACATGTACCATTATTTCTAAAAAAAAAACAAAACATCAGATTGAAAATAGATATATGTTGCAGACATTATGAGTTATGAAAGTAGAAATAAATTAATCAAATCGAAGACAATAAGTCTGAACATATTGGTTTCTATTTTTATATGATTCTAATTTAAGATGACGTATAGTTAAACAAAGGAACTTCTTCGTTTTTATATAGACATAGTTTTGTAGAACATCTTTCTTTACAGTCACTTGTGCATCTGCTTCTCATTAGAAATTTTTCAAACCCGAACTAATGGGCTAACCAGAAAAAAAATTTTCGGAAGGCTGAACTCCTGATCATGTTCGTACAGAGGGGTACAAGCCTTCTTTGAAGTAGAACTTAACTGTTAGTAGAGGGTTAAATCCTCTCTAGTCCCAGTCCGATTATGCAACTAAGTGAGACCTGGATCCAGTCGGATATGGCACCTACTCAATAGGCTTTAATATTGACAAACATATGTTCGATATCAAAGATAACTGCTGAAATAGCAAAAATTTTCTTTTTGTTCAGACTAACCAATCGTCAATTAAATCAATTACTGTACGATATACTTACAAACAAGAATTTGTTAAACATGGTTTTAATATCTTTTCTTCACAATTCTTTCCTTGATAATCAGATAAACAATGACATTGATAAGTATTAATTAATGATTGACAACTACCATTATTTTGACATGATGAATTTTTACATTGATCAATTATATTCTAATAAAAATAAGATAAATCAATCATATATTTTTAACAATCAAATTTTTTTCAAAACTTACATCACATAAAATTCCATTATAACCTTGATAACATTGACAAATAAATCCATTAATTTTATCAATACATCTACCATGTTTACATGGTTGTGGTACACAATCATCAATATTAATTTCACACATTTGTCCATTAAAACCAGGTAAACATTGACATCGATATCCAAATGGTTTTGTATCAAGATCTGTTATACAAGTTCCATTATTTGCGCAAGTTATTTCATTTAAACATGGATCAATTCGTTCAGAACACGTTAAACCAGAAAACCATGGTGGACAAATACACATAAAATTATCTATATTATCAATACAAGTCCCACCGAATAGACAAGGATTTGATGAACATTTATTTATTTGTATTTCACAATGAACTCCTGTATATGATGATGATGGACATATACAATCATATCCATTTATCTAAATAATTCAATTCCATATAAAAACATAAATAAATTTTCTTTTTACCTTATTAACACACAATCCTTTAATACATGGTGAACTTCCGCAATAATTTTTTTGTATCTGACAATTTGATCCAGTAAAACTATCTGAACATTCACATGTATAATTCCAAATTTGATCTATACATGTTCCATTATGTAAGCATGGATTTAATAAACATTCATTCGAAGTTTCTTCACAATTTAAACCAATATAATCTTGAAGGCATACACAACGATAATCATTTATCAATGATATACATAAACCATTATTTAAACATGGATTACTTGAACAATGATTAATCATTGATGAACAAGTCGATCCCTTTTTTTTTTATTACAAATATTTGTATTTAAAGAAAAAAAATCAATATTAAAAACTTTTTCTTACTGTATATCCTTGTGGACAATCACATTTAAAATTATTAATTAATGTTCGACAAATACCTCCATTTAAACAAGGATTTGATTGACATCGATCAATTTGAGTTTCACAATAATAACCCGTAAAACCTATAAAATTTTCTTGAAAAAATAAACAAAGATTCTTCTTTTTGATTTTCATCGTACCTGGATTACAAAGACATGAAAAATTATTAAAACCATCTATACATCGTCCAGAATTTAAACATGGATTTACTGGTTCACATTCATTTCTTTCATTTTCACATCGATTTCCTAAATTATTTAAATAGATTGTTGCAAAAAGAAAAAAGAAAAACCTAATTCTCATTCTTCTTTACCCATAAAACCATTCGGACAAAGACAAACATATTTATCAATTAATGATTTACATATTCCATTATTTTCACAAGGTTCAGATTGACATTGATCAATTATTGTCTCACAGAATATTCCTGTAATTCCATTTGAACATGTACATTGAGGTCCTAATTCTGTATTTGAACATATTCCGCCATTTAAGCACTAAAAAAAAAACAAATAATTTTGCAAAACACGATCTAATAAGAGTGTTGAAGTATAGAGGGCAAAAACTTGAAACCCTCACAGACTCTGACAAACGCCAATCTAGTGTCATTACGAGGTGAATAGGATTGTAACAGACTCCGAGGATGAAAGTACTTTTGAACTTTAGTCAAAAATCATCACGAACCCTATATGAATAACATCCTACTATAATCTATAAACTAAACTCCGTCCCGCAATAGTAGATCTCGAGTTTTTTACTGTATCCCATTTCGCCTAAGCAGACAAAAATTTGGAAAAGCGCATTTGTTTGCGCAAAATTATCATTTTCAGAGCGTGACAACGGCGAAAAACTCCAGTTTTTAGTGTTAAGACGGATTTTTATTCTAGAATTTCAAAACAATGCGTTTTAACGTCCATTTTTTGAATTTTTTTTACTGTTTTCACGTTCTGAAAACGTTTAAATGCGTTTTCCCAAATTTTTATATGCTTGAACAGCTCAAAGTCTTGAAAACTCAGCATATTTTGATGTAAATATCATAATTAAAGTTCCAAATTTTTTTTTCTGAGAAATTAATTAATTAAACAGAGTCTTTTATTACGCCCCACGCATCATTCTTTCAACGAAGAATCTTCTATTACGGAAAACATTTGACTTCTTTATTGTATTTCTAAGAGACTTAAATAAAAAGATAGCGAATGTATGTGTTACAAAATAGATAGTATAAAGAACTCTCTCTGTGATTAGCATGAGCAGCTACATTGTGTTTCACATTTTAATCTCATAGGGATTATCCTAACAGTTTTTGTTTTTTTTTTGAATTTATTATTGAATTAAACTTTTCTTACAGGTTGTGATTGACAATAATCAATAATCAATTCACAATTTTCTCCATGATATCCTTTTGAACATAAACATGTTAAATTTACTCCATTATTTATACATTGACCACCATTTAAGCATTGAATGCCTATACATTTATCTTGTAAATGTTCACAATTAATACCCGTATAAGTCAATGGACAAATACATTGATAACTATTTTGAAAATCTATACAAATTCCGCCATTTAAACACTAAAAAAAGAACAATAAATATTTCTTAAAATTATTATTCAGTATTTTTTTTTCTCTTATTTACCGGTTGAGATAAACATTCATTTACATTTATTTCACAATATCGACCAGAATATCCTGGTTTACATAAACAATAAAATGATGATATATCTTTTGATATACAACGTTCAACACCTTCAATTGAACATGGATTTGTTATACAAATATCAATTAATTGTTCACATTCTAATCCTGTATAACCTGGTGCACAACAACAACTAAATCTTGTCGATAAACTTGTACAATTTCCATTTAATCCACATGGTTTTGATAGACATTGATCAATCATTGTTTCACAATTTTGACCTGTATATCCATGATTACATTGACATGTATATGATGGTAATGTTGGTGTACAACTTCCATGTATACAAGGAAAACTTAAACATGGATTTATTATTTGTTCACATTGTTGACCAGTAAAAACTGGTGGACAAAGACATATATATTCTTCAGTATTATTTATATATAAATCTCGACATATGCCATTATTTAAACAGGGTAAACTATTACATTGACTTATTAATGTTTGACATCTTAAACCTGTATAACCTGATGAACATAAACATAAAAAACTATTTATTTGATCAATACATGTTGCATTATTATAACAAGGTGTTGCTTGACAATCATCAATATTTATCTATAAATATATAATAAAAGTTTTCCTCGTTTAAATATTTTTTTTTTCTCTCATCATTAAAAAAAAAAAAGAAATCAATTTTTCTTACTTCACAATAAACACCCGTAAAACCTGATTGACAATGACATGTTGGTAAACTTCCAAAATTATTTACACAAACACCATTATTTAAACAAGGAAATTTTTCACATTGATCAATAGCTGTTAAACAATTTTCTCCTGTTAACCATGTTGGACATACACATTGATATGAACCAGATAAATCAATACATGTTGCATTTGGATGACATGATAATGGATATAAACATTCATTTATATTCATTTCACAAAAGTTTCCAGTCCAACCAATTGGACATAAACATGAATATGATTCAACATTATTTATACAAGTACCTTTAGAAAATAAAAAATAAAAAAAAACAAAGATTTACTTAATAAGAAAACAAATGTACATGTTCAAATCGTTTATTTACCATTATTTTGACAAGGAATACTTGAACATGAATTAATTTCGATTTGACAATTTGTACCCGTAAAACTTGTTAAACATTTACAATTATATTTATTGATATCATCAATACATGTACCAGCGTTTACACATGGATTAGATAAACATTCATTTATATTATCTTCACATTCGATTCCAGTCCAACCTGGCTCACAAATACAAGACCATGTTGATGGTGTTAATTCAATACATGTTCCATATAAACATGGATTAGGCATACATGGATTTAATTCAATTTCACAATGAGCTCCTAAAAAATACCAAAAAAAAAAAAGGAAAAATATGAATCTCATATGTCTTCTTTAGCTTCATTATAATGATATAAATACTCTACATTTAAGACAGAAGTTTTTATTTTTATTGGTGCACTACTGTTTATTTAGTTTGTTGAGTTATTCACTCGTTCTTTATTGATTTTTATTCAATTTCTCTTGATATGTACCTCGATAAACTTACGAAGGAAGATCTCTAACTGCTGAAACGCTTTTGATTTGATATTTTGAACAGAAAGTAGATCCAAATGAGTTTAGAGAAGCCTCGAAATATTTCGAACGTACAGTCAATATATCAGGAGATATGACAGAAGTAGCACTACTCACCTTTACTCATTCTCAAAATGTGATTCTCCGCTTTTCATCCATTGTAATTGGTGTAAAGACGTTCTATTTTTGATCATTTCTTTTCATGGTTTCTGTTGTCATTAGTTAAAATGTACACACCCACACCCACACCTTCGCGCTGAAATCTATTCTGGAGCTTGTCGATATAAGAATCAATTAAATAAAGCCCTGAGATGACTTAAGACACTTCTTGAACGTAGGCTCGAAATACTTTAAGATTGTTCTAGTCTCATCAAAATCAAACGTCTGATTAAAATATCAGCTCAAAAGCGCACTGGCAACTAAGGACCTTCCTTCATGAGACATACTGATATTGTTTATTTCCGAAAAGTAGAACTTGATTAGTTTATATTTTTTGTATTGGTTAAATGATGACTATGACATTTCAATACATCATTAGTTATTATCCTTAGTCAAATCGTCTAAGCTTTATTCTTAATGTCATTCAGCACCATTGTTGCTATGATTGTCTATGACATTGAAGTCATTAATCTAGACTCTCATCGACACGTTTTTAAGAAAAATAATTCTTCTATTCTATCTTTTTGTTTATCTTACCAGTAAATCCTACGCGACATGTACAATTAAAATCAATTGAATTTGCATTACTTAAGATTGATGTACATGATATTGAATTTGATGCAATACATGGATTACTTATACATGAATCAATTGGAATACTACAATCATTTCCTTGATAATGTTCATTACATTGACAATAATAACTACCCATTGTATTTGTACATTCACCGCCATTTTTACATGGTTCATTTTCTAATAAACATTCATTTATATCTCCTATACAATTTGGAGGATCTGTAAAACCTTGTGGACAATGAATTATATTATTATCTAAACAAGTTTGATTAAAACATGAATTCATTCGAATTGAACAAGTTATTCCAGTAAAATCTGATAAACAACTACAAACAAAACCTGTTGCTACATTAGCACATATACCATTATTTTCACATGGTTGTGATAAACAATAATTAATTTTAATATGACAAAATTGTCCTGTATAACCAGGATAACAAATACAACTAAATGAACTTGTATTTTCTAATAATTGACAAATCCCATTTTGACATGGTGAATATTGACATGGATTTTCATTCATTTCACATAATGAACCTGTATAAATAGAACTTGAACATAAACATTTATATCCAGTAGACGTTGATAAACATAAACCATTATTTTGACAAGAATTATTTGCACAAGGATCAATAGATATTTCACATAGACGTCCTTTTATATTGTCACATTTATTAATTAATTTCGAAAAAATGAACATGTGTGTTACTTACCTGTATAAGTAGGTGGACAACAACATGAACCATTAAAACACGAACCACCATTTAGACAACCTGTCGAAATTGGACATTCAGGATCAAATATAGGTGCAATCAGCTTTTGTGTACATATATTATTTGGTCCCCAACCATGTAAACAAATTTTTTCACCTTTTAAATTACAATCAAAATGTCCTTGAGAACATGAATTTGATGATGAACATTGAATCGTACAATTAGAACCATAGAATGATGATGGACATTGTTGTTGTTTTTCTTGACAATGTAAACCCGTATAACTAAATTATAATGAAAGAAAAATAAAATTCAACTTTAATTAGTTATATTTACCTATGTGAACAATTGCAAACAAAATAATGGGTTCGTGAGATAGTATCATAAATTGGACTACATAAACCATCATTTAAACAAGTTTGACCAGGTGTACACATTGAAAGATATTGACAATTTGAACCAGTATAACCTAAAATTTTTTGAATATAAAAACTAAAAAAAAAAGAAAAATCAACTAACGAACCAATAGGACAACAACATGTCGATTGATTATTTCGACAAAAACCACCATTGTAACAAGTTAATCCTTAGAATTAAAAAGAAAACAACAATTTAGTAGTTTTTTTTTGTTTAGATTATTAACATAAATTATGGAATTTTACCAGTTGAGAAACATGTTAAAGATGTATCACGTATTGTACATTCACTTCCATACCAACCTGATGAACAAATCTTTTGACCTGTTATTGAATTACAAGTATATGAACTTGTACAATCATCATTTGGAATACATTGAATCGAACATTGTTTACCATAAAATGTTGGTTGACAATAAGTTTTTAAACCAATAACCATTCTAATAGAAAAAAAAATTTTATTTTAATATTATTATTATTATTTTTTTTTTTTTTTGGATATTTTTGTTCTTGTGAAACTATGTGAATACAAATCAAAATGGAATAAAAACATACTGATTAATATTTGATTGTTTTTTTGATAGATCAATCAATGTTGATTGTTGAAATACTCCATCAGTTGATGATGAATATGACATATCAATACGAAATGTTGTATGGAAATGATTAAGTAATATATTCATATTATCATAAAAAACAAATATTTTTATATCAATTGAATTCTATTTAATTAATAATCAAAAAAATAAAACAGAGAAATTGAAATATATAATATGTAAATATTTTATAAACTTACATCATTTATTTGTGGTAATTCAAATTGTAATGGTAAAATATCAGTTATATTTTTTATTGAATAATAATTAAATAAGTTAGTATTATTTATTTTTGTTCGTATTGATTTTGTTCCCAATGGACATAAAGTCCAATTTATTTGAATTTCACTAAAGATTTAGATGAAAATTTCTTTAGGCTATGTAGACATTTATGTTTACTTTTTAAATTTCTCTTTTTTGTCTCAAGGGTCATACTCTCATTCTTATTTGTACGATCAATCTATACTGATACTAGGACATTGAGTGTTATGCCAGACAAGTGGCATCACCTTTTATCGTTCTATATACACACGTGTATATTCAAATAACAGAACAAAAAATCAATTATACTATGCATTTAGAAAATTTTTCACATTAAAAAAAAAAGAACATACCTATTGATGAAATCCAAACAGATAATTGTATTTAGATGACAGGATGTTGACATAGGACAAAAATTTGACGAAGGAAATGAACCATCACAACATTGACCATCTATTGTCATACCCGTTGGGTTATGAAATTGGAATAGATCAACAAGTAAAATTGATGGTGATACTTGACAATCAATCTATATTTATAATACAAAAAAAGAAAAAGAAACAAAAATAAGAAATAAATTTTTTCTTTTGTTTTATTTCTTGTGAAAATTAGTTGATGATGCCAATGAGATTAATTTCTTTTTTTTGTTATGTCGGTTATTCAAATAAGTCTTTTTTCGTTCTTATCTTTGCAGACGAGTGGTAATGTACACACTTGACTATCATCAATGAACTAACGATGCGCATACACATAAGTACTCAGTCAGTATTACAAATAGAAACAAAATGATCAACTTTGACTTTGAATAAATCAAAAAAAAAAAGAAATTTACGACTGCACTTGACTAATGATTAAAGAATATGCAAATAATCACATATATAGATGTGTATATTCAATAAAAGAAATGAAATTTTACCTGTCGATTATTGAGTAATAATAATAAAAATATCAATAACATATTGTTCCAGATGAAACAATCTTCAATAAAAGAAAAAAAAAAAGAAGTCTAAAAGAAAAGTGTCATTTCTCATATGTGTTCTTAAAGATCACAAATACAATAATGGTTAATACACAAAATGATAATGTTTGTCATCGTTTCTTTCTTTGAAAAGAAAGAGAAAAAAAAACGAATATTGATTCTTCCTCCTACACGTTCATGCTCACATACTCGACCTAAATAATTATTAGATATTGAGAAATGAATGAATAGGTGCGACAAAAAAAAATTCGAACAAGTTTGTCACGTCGGTCTGTGTAAGTTGTGTAGTAATCTGTTAGACTAACGTTATAAACTAGAATAGCAGCAACAATGACGAAAGAAAAAAAACGCCTTTACTCCCTCCCGTTATCCTATAGAGTTCTGTATGTTAGAAGGCGGTGACAACGGTATGCATTCGATGAATGAATAGATGGTAAATTGAGAAAGATCGAGAGAGAGAGAGAGAGAGAGAGAGAGGGAGAGAGAAAGAGGAACTAAAAGATGCTATCGCATCAACAAGTTGGATTTTGATTGTTCATAAACGATTTTCTCTCTTTCTCTCTTCTTACTTATCTGAGAGAATTCTTTTTTTATTCTGTATGAAGCCACGAATCTGTTTGTGTTACTATTCTTCCACTATATTGAACTTTCGTTCTCTCTCTCTCTCTCTCTCTCCCGCTCTATTTATGTCCAACTATTGCAGTGACATACATGCAGGATATTTTGTCCTATTCTGTAATGTCTTACACAGTGGCACTCACCGCCCACACATACAGACCTATACACACACACATATATATATATATATATATATATATATATATATTGAACGAGTCGTAGATGTCTGTATCAAAAAGTCTGAATAGACATATACCACACCTCATTTTCAATTCTTGTTTCGCTCAATTGTTTTCGGCCTATAGCTATTTGCATGCGTCGTTCATTCATTGTTCATTGTTACCGACATAACTCTATGATGATATATATATATATAAATATATATAATATGTGACTGTAAAACGAAAAATCAATTCAGACAAGTCCATTAATAGAATTGACTTCAAATTAGTCATAAATTTACAGTAGAGTATGACATTTATTGAATGATCAATAAATAAATGGATGAATGAATTTTTTTTTATATTTACACGTGTAAATGTATTTAAACTTTTTTTTTATTTTATTTTATTTTTTCATGTATAAAATACATTATGAATTTATAGGACGATCGAACAATATCGATGTATTTGTCCAAGTACACGTTTAATGATGGTCTTTGTTCTGAAGCAAATAATTTCATTTGATGAGTCACGTAATTTTCACTCCGATTACACTTCTACTTGACAAGTATTGTATCAACTATCCTATTCAGTAAATCAAAGAAGAATTATATAACTATTTTTATCATATCGATTCAAGAAAATGACTCCAATAATTATTGATCGTATAAACCTATTTGTTGCTTAATATATCATGAGAAGTAACAAAAAACTATGTAGTAACACGATTTATAAGCTTAATCATATTCAAAATTTTTCAAGCAATTTGATTTATCAAGAAATGAATATATTTAGATGTTCTTTGTATGCTTTAAAAAAAATTTTTTTTTTTAATTGAACTCTTGTTCTATATGTGAAATATGAACCAACATTTGGTCATATAATTAAACGTTATATTAAGTGCGTTATATCTATTTTACATATTATCTGTATAGATACATTTTTGTCACCTTTATTATTAGGTGTTAACTATAAATTCACAATTTTTATCAACACTAGAAAAGCAATATGAATTTTAATGAGTGAATTAGTTTTAATTTTAAACTAAACCAATTGAAACTGATACTATTATAATTATGAAAAATTTATTCATGAATGTACTTTTCATTGTGTTGATATGTCCTTAAAATACGATGGATCTTAATTATATCAATGTTGTTGTGCTTCTTGTCGTGTGTTCGTTAAAAGTCTTCAGGTCATATGTTTTCGCTCGGTTCGAATTAATATGAACACTACTGTATGTTTCAATTTTATTTGAATAAACAAAGATATACGATCAGAAGTAAAGAATATCAAAAAAATAGATGATCAATTATTCAGTTAATGAGAAATGGTAAATTTCAAAAGATATCAATTCTATTGTTTCTTTTAAAAGATATTTAATATCTTCTTGGATATCGTATCGACTTATAGATACATTAGATATTGAATTATTTCTTCTGTATAATCATTGGTTTTCATGGTTGATTGAATGAGAAGAAAAAAACGTTTTCTAAAGAAAACGAAAAGTTTCATCTTGGTTTAAATGATTATTACTAAATATGAAAATTTTCAAGATGGACGATAACTGTATGTTTTTGTTCAATTGATTATCTGTAGAGATTGTCAACATGGAATTTTATGCTGATATTAGTTAAGTTTGATCAAATTGAGATCTTAACAGAGTTCATACTAATTCGTTTGCATACATCTATTCAACACGAAAGACATGAGCGTGTAGTTTAAAATCTCTAGTGTATCTGTTTTATTTTGTGTGATCTTTTTTATGATCGTATATTATGAAAACAATGAAAAGAGCAAATGTATTTTCATTTGAGAAGAATTTTCAGATGAAACTTAGGAATGCATGTATCATATGAATATTAGTTGGTAGGTGCAGTTGCATTATGATTCATTCGAAAAGAAGTATTATGACAAAATTCAAAGACAGGAGTGACTGTATGTCCTTTTAAGTTGGTAAAGGCTATACCTAATGAAGACATAAGAATAATTGATGAAATTGATATTTACAGAATATGTTTTTTTTTACCTTTTTTCACTCCATCAACGACATATTCTAGAGTACCTTGGTTCAAATCTAACAATATACCAACACGCGTACCATTAGGAAATAGATCATGATAAGGTAAAGATTTACTATCATGCCTCAATCCAGTATGATGATAACTAGGATGTTGACCATAGAGTCTTAAAGTCCAACTGAAAGAATCATCGCCTAAACGTTTATTTGTATCCCATGAAGAAGTAGCGACACCCATTGATGAGTAACACCCTTAAACATGACTAGTATGCTTACTGTACTTCATTCAAACACAAGAAGAATAATACCTTGTCCTCTCTCTATAGTGATTTCCCAGTAGTGCTGTCCATTTTGCCACATAACATTCTTTACTTTTGCATACAAAAACTGGACACATTCACTATCGTGATTAGCTGAGAGTCCATCTTCCGAGATAACTACTTGTGGATGATGCAGAGTAGAATCAAACAAAAGTTTTTCTACTACAATCATAGTAGTAGTTATTGTTTCATTTTTCAATTGTTTGATTAAAGATGTAATTTGATAGTATTCTGCTTCTAACAAAAGTTCACTACGGTCTTGAGCTGATTTAGGCTCAATTAATGTATTTGTACGTAAATAATTGAGTAAAATTCTACAAGAAAAAAGAATTTACGTGATTAGTTTAATATGATTAATTTAAGTGATAGCTCTATTTAATTTGTTTATATCGTCACTTATACCTAAAATGTGTTGGATCACGATCGATAAACGTAGCACCTTGATGTTCTCGAAGATCAAATCGTCCACTGAACATTTTTGTGAATAGACATTCTTCTTTGGTTAGAGTTTCAATTGTAGTCGAGAATAATTGACCACCTATATTAAGTGTTACAATCTGATCATATTTCTTGAGTAATTGAGTCATTTCCTGTTTTTCTTTCTTTAATAACTCGATCTCTTTGCGTAAACTGTTACGTTCATTCAGTAGATTTGTTTGACTATCAGTAATATGTTTAAACAATGTGTCAGCTTCAGCTCGTATGGTTTTATTAAAACGATCGAAGAGTGGAATCCATGAATCAGTATTGTCAATTTCATCAGTACGATTTGATGACATGAGTGTAGAACAGAAATGTTTGCCGTTAGTGTAGGTATAGAACGAAATGAATCATCACATATTATTTTATTTTGATGCGATAAGAAAATACTCTTGTAAGAATTAACTTATATTTTTGTTTAGATGTCACTAAGCAACAACCCTCCTGAGAAAAAGCAAATTTCATCTATGTTGTATCGTTTATGGTCTTGCTTCATATACTAAATATGTAGATGTTCATCTTGTTGAGTTTATTAAGAGTATGATGTATGAGATTATTTTTGAAGAACAAGTACTTTTAATCAATCAAAAAAAGATAGTTTTGATTACCGATTTGTTTTTCGAGTAGTGATTTTTCATTATCTCTTCTTGGGTGCTTCTACACGATACACGCAACTTCTCATATACACGTAGCATTTTATGTTTAGAGATCGGATAGATAAATGTATGGTCAAAGATATATATATATATATACTTTTTGCTTTGTATACATTACACTTTGGTTCTTATTGAAGCCAACAATATCCTTAACTAATTGGTCTGATTTACAGCGGAGAACATTATAGACTGAGGGCTGATGTCGTTGGTAAGTTGGAGCAGCATCTACACTGTATTGAGAAATAACAATGTGAAATGAATGCTGAAAAAAGTTGGTGATCAAAAATACGGTCACCCTTAATTTGACATATCTATATTGGATAATAAAGAACATCTTTTTCATGAAGCTAATAATAGATAGCTAGAAACTATTGATGAATATCACGAAGATAATATTAAAAATATACAATATAGCCTAACACAGATAATAAACCCTTTTTGTGGGATTTATTGTTCTAAGTTTTTTTTTACAGTATAGGTTTCTTTGTTAATAATTTGTAAATTAGAAAGAATAATTTTTTGAAAAGAAAAGTTGTTAAATTAGATGGATGAATTTTCCTATAAACATAATATCATATGTTATTGTTACATTATTTTATTATAAATTGGAGAGAAAGTTTTAGCTTTAATATTGATAGTGTTTTTTTTATCAATGAGTTTTATTATTTTACTGGATATGGATGTAAATTTTGTCTTCATTCACACTCACACTTAAGACTGTTTGCTCTTATTTTATTCTTTTCTTTACTTAGATGTATTTGATCTGCTGTCGATTATGTAGTATCAGTACAACATTCATCAAATTTCTCAAACATAAATTCATGTAATAAAGAATTAGTAAGCGGATTGAAAATGATCATTTTAATCGTATTTATTGTTGGTACCATTCATACATTGATTAATTACGTTACCTTGGATTAATTTCTTATCTTTCTTTTTAAAATAACTAATATCTAAACATTACTTAAATCTATGAATGAATAAAGAAATATATAGTTGAAAACGGCATATGAGTATTTATATATGAAAATGTTATTAGGTCGCTAGTTGTAATTTGTTATGTAATTTACTAACATATGTTTTTCAAGAAAATGTACCACTTCGAGTAATAAAATCAGCTGCATCGTTTCATAAAATCATGTTAATTTCAAAAATCGTTGCAGAGTGAAATTAACAAAGACAAAAACTACAATTGTATCATAGATCAAATAAACGATTGACAACAGCAAGTTATAGTCCTACAAGAGTATATATTATCCAAAAGAAAAAGTCTATAACTATGCATTGAAAATATGAAGTGTTCTTATGGGAATAGATCGTCAATCTTATATTATTAATTCACAAAACGTCAAAATCTCGAGCAAAACAAATACATTAATATCGTTCCTGACACTCATTCTACAAGAGAAAGAAATAGAAGAAATGATCTCGTCGATACGATGTTATACGATTATCTACTAGCATTATTTTATACTAATCTATGACATCTGGTTTTTTTGCACAATTGATTAATTATCGAGATCTGCTGATTGTCGCATACTTATCATCGAACAAGAACAACTATATTTTAAATGACTTGGTTAGTATGAAAACTCGATGTATATATATATGACGTCTTCTCAATAAAAATCTTCGTATGTTCATTAAAAGAAAATGGAAATGAGCCTTGTATTAGAATAGAATAATGCTTTTCATTGTTTAATAATACAAATCCGTTCAATATTTAGAGTATTTAATGTAATTATTTTAATAGAAAAAAAAATCTTCTTTCGATAAAAATATCGAATAGTGTATTGAGCTGCATCTTTCAAGGTCATAAATGTAGATTAATGCTTTCAGCGAGAAAAATAACTAGATTCCTCATGAAATCAATAGAAAAGAAAGTTTGAAAGAATTTTTTGAGTTCGAAAAAATCATGATCAACATACGAGAGTAATGTCTTCTAACAAAACATTGCACTATTTATCATCGAATAATAGATTTTAAATAAGAGAATGACACAATACACAAAGGATAATAATACACAGGATGTTTTACAGACATATGCAAAGATAGAACGAGAAAGAGAACAGTATTGAAAACGATCGTAATTGATTGCTTCGATGCATTGTATTGATTTCTTACAACGAAGAATGATATATTCTATATGTAATAGGCAACTTTCAGTCATTGATAATTTCCAGTAACAGTATTTTTGATCATCAAATAATTTTACATAAGATGCCAACAATTCAAAATTTGAGCAAAAGTTTTTTTCGGGCTCTTTCTTTGTCATAGTTGGATACAACTCGTCAAGTAACGTACAAAAATTTTGTTTTTGACATATTCAAACGATGTTTTTGTAGTGAAACTTAGGAAAGAATTAAGTTTAAAAATATTAGAAAAGTCAATAAGAATTGAAATACGCCAAACACATCAAGTCGCAGTAGCCTTAATATTTATTCGAATTTTATTTTGTTTTTACTTGTCATGTAGTTAGAAAACAAATGTATGCATCATTTTTGAAAAATATCATTTAATTATTGATAAAATCGATTTTTTTTTTGGTATAATGGCAAAAAAAAGCCACAAAGGCGGGTTTGTATTCAGAAGTTTTCATGATCAGAATTTCCGTTCGAAAGGAAACGAATATCATACTCATAATCAACCTAAAAACTATATGATGAATAAAATCAAAAAAAAACCGAATAAATATTGAGACTACTAAGACTTGATGTGTTTAGTGTATTTCAATTTTTACAGGATTTTCTAAAATTTTCAAACTTAGTTTTTGTAAGTTTCATTACCAAAACAACATTTTTTTTTATAGATGACTTGACAAGCTCTATCCAATTATGACAAAAAACGCCCAAAAGCGATTTTGCTCTAATTTTGAATTGCCGGTACCCTACTTTTCATCACCAACTTATTTCAGCATTCATTTTACATTATTATTTCTCAATGAAGTATACAAACCGAACAATATATGAGTGAAGTGCAACTTTTTGGTACGATTGAAATTTTAGCTGTATTTGACCAATAACTTTTGTTCTATTTAACCGATCTGGACGATTTTTTCACATGTTATTTCTCTTTAATTGTTTCACACCATATTTCAGTTCTCTATCGTAGACATTCGCTGAGTTATGAAAGACATATCACAAAAAAACATCATTTTTTACTGACGTGTGCAAAGAAAAGGAAATCTTTTAACTAGAATAAAAGAAAGGAAAAAGGAATATAAATAGTCTAGATTGTACAATGTTCGATACTCTTTTATAATATATAATTCATTTGAATTTTATTCCTTCCTTATTTTCCCTTTAAATGTCCACTTTGTTTGACAGACATTCATATATGTTTATGTAGAATAACATAAACTCAATTCTACCTCTCCTTGTGATAGAGCTAACGGCGTATAGCACATATGAGAAAAGAGTGAACTCTTGCAGTAATAGACTGGTGAGAAACAGTTGTCTTCTATTAGCTTTGTTTCAGAGAAAAAATGTAACAGAACTTGCTAAAAATAAGTTATTGTACTCACTTTGTAGAGTGACATTTTGAAAATTGTCTATTCCATAGCTTTTTAATAAACCGTTCGATTTGGCTCAGATTTTTACAGTAGATATACAACAAAAAATTATACAAGTGATGAAAATTTCAATCTTTGATCTTTTACCGTTCAGAAGAAATTCACATTATCTTGCAAAATGTAGGATGACGCTTTTCCGCAGATATTTGTAGTTAAATGCGGTGAGCGAATCTAAATGTATTGCGGGCTATTTGTAATTACTTATTTCGCATTCGAAGCTAACAAATGATTCGAGCCTTTTCAATAAGGAGAGTGAATTTTATAGTTGAATTAAGCAGAAACTAAACTAGACAATATGTATTTCTCTTAATATTTAGCGAAGTGTTAGGAAACTATGCATAGAGTATGATAAAATATACTACTCAGAAACTTTTTAGATCTACTTTTAGTTTTTCGTGTCAATTGTACCAAAAAGTTGCAATTCACTCACATATATATATAACAATATTAACCTAGGAAACAATATTTTCAATTGAATAAGTAGTTCTTCTAGAGATACACGCACCCAATTCACTAACTACTTTGGTCATACATTTATCTATTTTATCTCTGAAAACAAAGTGTTGAATGTGGATGATGAGTTATGTGTGTATCGTGTAGAAACTCCCAAGAAGAGATAATCAATAATTACTATTCAAAAAAAAAAATTGATGATGAAGAATACTTGGTCTCGATAGTTTTACTTGAATTAACATAAAAAATTCATGTTTTTTGCGCAATACTTATTATTAAATCAACTGCATCTGTATTATAAATTTGATTTTAGTTATTAAATCAAAAAAAAAGAACGAAAAGTTGTCATTGGTTTAGCAATGGGTTGTTGCAAAAGTTCTTTATACATCAACACTTTACGTTCACATCGATCAAATTCAACACGCATCTCTTCATCGTTTACTCAAACTGAAATGATACAACTTGGAATCATTTTGTCTAATATACCTGATCATTATCAAGAAGCAATTATTAATCTACCAGCACGAAAACTACTAAATTTTTATCAGTATCATTTGATGGCTTTGTATTATGGCCTACAAAGAGAATGGCTATTAGCTATTGTATGTGAACAATATGCAATAAAAGGCTTACAAGCTTTAATGCCTACTGAAAAAGATCATTATATCTTCTTTAATTTTTACAGTGTATTATCAGCATGTTTCTTAGCACTTGGTGAAATTGAAACAGCCATTAAAGGACTTCATATAACTTTAGATATTCTATTAAAACATACACCGATGGACTATAAAACAATAAGTAATCATTACTATCATCTAGGTAATGCATACAGAACTATACAAAATTGGGAAGCAGCATTGCAATCATTAACACAAGCAATTGAAATAGCACAACTCAGTAATGATTTAGATCAAGAATATATTCATAACCTTGAAACGAATTTTCAATTGATAAAGTAAGTAGATTGATGAGAGGCAAATTTTAGTAGACTATATGAAAATCTATAGAGAAAAAGAAAGATAGATTATGTAGACTTGCGATCACCAGTACCGATATATACTACTATTGGAGGCAGTTTAATCAGTTGAATATCTTTTCTATAATAGATCAACTTCAGAATTATGTACTTTCTAATTACACAAGACAGAAGCTACAACACACATATCATACATCATAAGTATGCTAGAACAGAATTGAACATTCTCGAAAAGAAACATGACATTTTCTGATATTAAAATTTCGATATTCTTTCTCTTTCGTTTTAGGAAACAAGTTGCTAACAATATACTGTGTAATTTAATACTTTCTAAAGCATAATGAAGATTTACACATTCGAAGAATAGCTCAAATAATTATGTTCAATGTTAATGATGGTACAATTCACTTTAATTTGACTAAATTTAAGCGTTTGTCTCAGCTACAGACAGAATTACAAATTATTGATGAAATTCGAAGAGATGTTTTAAAATATTTCAAAAACCATGTCGATTTGGATTGAATGTGATGGAAATGATTCATCACTCATCTAATTACAGGTTACTGCAGTTCAATTCAATAAATTACAAATAATAATTAATTCATTGTCAGCAACAGTAATTTAGGCAATATAAACAATGATTCTTGAACAATTAAACGAAGAAAATACAACTAATGACAAACTATATGCTGCATTGAAACAAATATCAGCTTTCATTCTTTTATACACATAATAGTCGTTTCTATGCAAAAGAGCTGCTTGTATTCCAAATGAGAGACAATAATTACCAGTTCGACTAATAACCGATAAATGTATTTTGATTAAATCTCTATATTTTTTTTAATCATTCTCATTTAGTTAAAAATTAACGTTCCACATTGTCAAATTCTAAATATTATAAATAAAATTTAACGCAATAAATAATAGAGTGGATTTTTCTATTAGTATATTTATAAATCTTAGTCATTGATGCCATCATTTATGATGAGTAAATTACCTTACAGTTATCACAAAAGAGTCCAAGTGCTTTGCATTTCTTATAAGAAAAAGAATAAAAAAAAAGCAAAAGAATGAAATAGTTACACTTATTATCAGATCGCAGTTTCTTTTTTCGTTAACGAAAATATCGTTACGTTCGTATGATGTTGTAAAGAAACACTTAATAGTTCTTGTGATTGGCATGAAGAATAATTGAACTATATAATAATATAAAAATTCTATGAAAAAGTTTGACATATATGCATCGATAACTCCATTCTTACACCATCTTATGATAATTGATTCTTGTCTCTGTTTTAAGATTGAGATAAGAAATTGATAAATATAATCAATAGTACGAATCGAACTCTAATCAGAAATACTAAAAAACACAGATGAACTTAGCTATTGGATGATGCATGATTAGATATAAATTTATTCTCTCTAAAGGAATTGTATGTACAATAGCAATGTAAGAATTTTATTTTTAGATGAACACTACTTCTTATCGATATTAATATCAATTGATATACTAGCAAATACACAGACACAGTTCTATAAAATAATGATAAAAATCATGAAACGTGTCATTTACATCCTCTTCTTTTTTTATAAGCACCCCAACAAGCTGCATAAGCCATTTTATGAGCAATTGTATGTTGTTCCATTGTTCCTATAAATAAATGGCTCCATGGTCCTTGTGCAAATACAGCAACATCTTCACCAGCATGTGTTGCTTCTACCATTGGAATAGCTGCTGGCCATCTGTATTCGGTGTCATTAAGGTCTATCGAATCGAGATATGTCTTATTGCGAATAGCTGGAAAATTGGGACCGTTGCCATAAGTTATAATTTGTACTGGCATTTTATCAATAGTGCTCACATTTAAACTTTCTAATGTACTAAAACCGAAAAGATTTGAGCCACGAGCCGAATCAGCACCGAAAGAAAATGCGTTTGAATGATCAGCAGTAACGACAAGTAATGTATCATTGAGAACACCTTTATCTTGTAGTATACGTTTTACTTGCCCAATAGTATTATCGAATTCAACATAATCATCAAGAGCATATCTCGCTTGAGTAAAATGATGACCATGATCGATTCGACTTCCTTCGATGAATAGAAAAAAACCATTTTTATTTCTGCTTTTCAGAAGCAAATGTTCGACAGCAAATGTGGCCATTTCTGACAAGCTGGGCTCTCCTTTCGGATTTCGAATTCGATTTGTCTCAAAACGCATTTGATCGTCATGGAAAAGACCAAGTATTGGTTCTGGCGATCCCAATACGATCTTATGAAGTTCTGTCTTGTTCCAAATATATTTACCCTTCCAGAAGTCATCAATCAATGAAATATTGTCTGTACGTGTTCCATTTAATGAAGAATTTGCAACATCAGGTTTTTGTGTTGGATAGAAGAATCTTCGACCTCCACCAAGAAGAATGTCGATCGGTGGTGATTGAAGCACGAGCTGACGAGCAATATCTACACAACCTTGCGCAACTTCTTTCTCTCCAAAATTGATCGAATCGTAGCCTTCCCATTTACGATCAGGTGAGTGAGCATAGGCAGAAGCTGGTGAAGCATGAGTGATCCGAGAAGTAGCCACAATACCGACAGGGTGTCCTGATCATGATGAAAAACAAAAGTTTTTTTCAGATATTTTATCAATTGAATATGCTGATTCCATCATTAAAATTACTTTTGGAAACTTAACAAGAACAAAAATGTTTGACCTAAACATTAATATTTAGGTATAATAAATGATACTAGACTCAAATTCAGAGATATTTTTATTTTTTAATCTAACTGGAAGACAAGGAAGCATGATCTACGGCTTCAATAATACCCAGAAGGTGAATATTCAATAGAACAAAACTCGAGTGCAAAATAACGAATCTAACATACTCCAAATACAATAGGAATATCAGGATGCTATCGGAATGTACAGGTATGATAGGATATTTCGAGATGTTCGGTATTCAAGGCTTTGCTTTTATGATAAAAATGGTTTCGAAACATGATTTTGTCCGAAAAAAATGATTTACTCATTGAGCTGTGTTCCTACACGAAAGTTTACGTAGTTGAGCTATTATTCAATGGGATAATTTTTCTTAGTAAGATTCAAGTAGAAAAGAAATCCTCTGCCGGAAGTTTGTTTCGATTGCAATTAATGATACTTACCGAGCTCTTGTGCCCATTTCAGTATGCTGTCGACATGAGTACCGTGCGAACTTAAGCAATTTCCTCGTGAAGCTCGTCCATCTATACCAATTGTACCAAATGATGTTTTCACTCCACATAATAAAGCAGTTGCTGTCGCAGCTGAATCTGGTGTTTGATGATCAGTACAATAACTTTACATTTATAATAAAAATTAAAAAAAAGAGATTAACTTAATTCAGAACGAAGACCTACGTTTTAGCAAGTCCTAGATGAGAAAATTGTTCCATTTCAGTGATAAAATCTTCACCCAACTGACCAAGCATTTGTCCCTTACGAATTCGACCTGCTGTTATCGTCGGAACACCCATTCCATCACCGAGAAAAAAGATAACATTTTTCGCTATTCGTTTGTTTTCTTTTCTTCGTAGATTATATTCAATATCCAATCGAGCTTGTTCATTCCAAAACGATGGATTTTTCTCTTCGGACAAATCTGTTCGACCTGCCTTGATATTTATAGGCAAAATATTGATCAGTAAGATGACAAGAAAACGATACACTAAAAACAAAAAAAAGATGTTCAATCACAATCAAGTGAAATTTGTTTGTGCTCTGTTTTAAACAAATTCAAAATGTAGGGTGTGTAATCATTATCAGACATGCATGTTCAATAGTATCTATTCGAATGAAAAACAAGGATACAAAGTTATTTTTCCAGTAAGCACTGGATTTTAGGGTAGGTATAATGATTACTCTTTCAAATTTTTATGCATTCTATGATAGTTTTAAATATCGAAATGATCACGTTTCTTCTTAAAATTCCTAATAAATCAAATAAATTCACGAACTATAGTGTTATCTACATAATAATCTTGGTGTTCGATGCATAGCAGAGTTTCAAATAGGTTCGATACGACAATCGCAGAATGAAGGCTTCGAACTTATTTCGGGAACGGATTCAGAATTTTGACAGGACTTGTGGCTCAGAACTTATTAGCTACATTTTAAGAGGTTCATAAATTAAGTTTAACGAAACAAAGTTGCCAATAGAAATCAATCGGTACGATAATACTCATGGTAAATTTTCTCTAAAGCTACAAATTTCTATTACAATTACATTCTTTATACAATTTAATCTTTCTTTTACTTCTTTTTAAAAATTATTTTTCGTGTGCTAAATTTTTCTTCAAAATTTGATTTATGCACTTGTTAGGGATCAACTAATAAATTCTAAGCGAGAAATCTAACATAAATTCAGATTCCATCTGTAGAGAAAGTATGAAATGTTAATTCTGAGACAATAGCTTCGAACATTTTGAAGCATCTTATTTTTTTTATCCATAGAAAAGATGATTGGACAATATTTTCAGTAAGTGAGACATTATACACATTCTATGAAAAATACTTTACTTTCATCAATTCAATCAAAGATACTTTCATAAAGAGCAAAGTATCTTCTTATAGAAGAATGTTTTTCAAGTCTCCATCAATCAGATGATATGGAAAACGAATAAAGAGAAATATATTAGATTTCTTTTTTTCTTATTTTTTATTGTAGACATTCATTCTCACGCTCTAATGTGTTCTCCTTTACATTCAAGTATGTCCGCTTAAAAACAAATGCGAACATGAAAAATCAATTTTTGAATTTTCTATTCGTTTGATAATTTTTTCATGTCTCAAATATTTCAAGACTTGTCTTCACAGGTCAGGCAATACACAATTTTACGTTCTATCAAAATGTACTTCGTTGTGACAGTTGATAGGTTTTTTGCAAACGTTTTTTAAATAAGACATATCGGTTTGAAACTTCGCTTTTGAATCACCCACACACT